ATATTATATTGTGTATCTTCTCAGTTTCTCTGCCTAGTCCTTGGTTTTATTCAGGGCAAACCACGTGAATATAAGGGTAATGCCTTAATATAGTCCATGATCCCTTATTATAATCATCTGACCATTTCATTCAACACTGGGTGACGACAGAAACTGACACAAGTAAAACAACTGGAAGGAGCATCAAGTTCTTCTTTTCACTATTCCAATTAAAAGAAAAATATGTACTGTGCTAGTGGCAGTTAATGATGGTGATTTCTAGTAGAAAAGATAGATTTAAATTGTGTTCAGGAAAAAAAAAGGCTGAAATGAATAAAAAATGGTTATGCTTACCTTCTGATTTCGTTTAAAGGACTTCACTTTGATATCTTCTGTAAGTTTTACAGACACATAATAGTCCCGGATGGTACCAAAGATTTCATCTATCTTTCCAATTTGCTCTTTATTGTCCAGATAAATTGGTGCATTGAAATATGGAACATCCTCAATCTCAGCTTTCACTACAAGGTCATCCTGAGCAGGGTATAAATATGAACCCAGAGGTATCACCTGCATAATAATAAAATCAACTTTGGTAATATATGCAATATCCTTTTTCTTTGGACAACACAGTAAACTTGTAGAAGAATATGGTCATTCTCTTCATAAAGTAGTACATAACAAATTCTTATCATGACAATTGAAATGTTGCTATGATTATGACAATGTAATATCAAAACTGTAGGTGAATGTATTGACTGTGGACATAAATAATCATATCTCCTCTAGATGAGTAGCTAGACAGCTGGATTAATAAATTACATGTCTTTTTGTGCCTCAGAACTGAATTACTGTACATAAACATAGCTTACTTCTTCTGGAGGCCCTTGATCTTGGAAACCCCCAAAGCTGTTTCTTCCACCTCCACCTTAAATAAATTAATAATTACACAGTCATTTCCTTATAAGATATGCACATTTTGACCAAATATGGTAACAGTGACAAGTCATGCAAATAACAGCACCCTGTAAATTTATAATCTGGGTTCATACTCATGTAAATAAGATGCTTATATGTGCAGCATTTTAAGTTGATTTTAAAAGGCTGAATATCCAGTATTAGGAATGTAATGTAACAAAACCAAGCAGGTTAATGTAATAGTAATACCTCAGTCCTGTATTTTTGAGGTAACTGATTTTTGGCTCATTTACTGTTTATCCTTAAGTTTCTTTCTTTAGTCTGTCTGGTGAAATGTGTGGATAATACCTTGAAAGAGGTAATGCTCCTGTTCTTCCAAATCTATCAGCAACGTACCATGGCAATGGTGGTACTTATTCACATTAATGTTGCGTCTTGATATTTTATTATTGTGTAACACTATTTGCTTCATACACTAACGTATGGGCAGATGATCATTTAAACTTCATGGAAAGCTTGACAGGCAAGTCTGTTTGTGGCCCAAACTTTCCAGATAATACAACACTAAAGTCAACGTGTTCTATTTATGGTGCGCAAGCAGATATACTAACCTCTACCTCTACCACCACGTCCATAATTCGATCCTCCACCACCATAGCCACCGCCGCCGCCGCCTCCTCTTCCATACCCTCCGCCTCCTCTTCCATATCCTCCGCCACCGCCTCTCCCACGAGAATGAAATGACATACTCCTAAGTAAAAACTCATGTTTTACATGTTACAATGGTAGGAGCATCTTCAACAGCATATTCACTCACAATTACAGTGGCAATCAAACAAATGGAACCATAAAATATTACTGTTTCGAGTAACAAGTTGGTCGAAAGGAACAAGTATTTTCCTGTCAAGAAAAATTTCCTATCCTACATAACACGTGGGTAATCGTGAAGGTTAGAAATGTTTCGTGCTATTTTTCACGTTTTCACTACCTTAATTATAAACTGTACAATAAATAGCATAAAGTATACATATATCCATACTGTCGTATGCGATTCATTATAATTTCCCAATGTCTGAAAGGAGACAATTCTTACCTTCGATTATTTAATACATACAAACTACTTAAAAACAACAAACACCATTCCTAGAGACTTTACAGTTTTACCACCAGGTAGCTGATTATTCGGCAACAGATTATACCAACCCTTACTGAACATATAATTGCGTCAAATCAAAATTATGCAGGCTGCAGTTCAGACATTTGCCTTTTATACTACGTAGGAATATTATTATTGCTAAATGAATTGATAGTTTCATATAAATTTTTCATTTAGTTATAGTTTACAGCTTACTTCCATATTTTGATAAAACAATTCTATAATCCTTAACAGTAACGTCATGTTGGTCATCCGTAATTAACCATGGCATCATTCAGTGAATACAGGTTTGGCATCAGAGGATGGCAGTATTATTTTTGACGATTTTTAATATTTAATAATTCGAAGAAAATGATGACTACAATAAAACCTATTATTAAATATGCTTCAACTTTGAAGAGAAAACTTGAAGATATTGATCCAATAGATGAAATTGAGGAAACGAAAAGTATGTGCTTTCTGTGATAAAAGTGTTTTTGACGTAGCAAATTCTGTGCAGTATTTTATGTATTTGTTACAGCATGAGTAAAGTTTACGTAATGTTTTTAAAAATTAAACTCCTTCCACCTAATGTTTTCAAAAAATTAAACTCCATTCACTTTGGCAGAGGATGGATAGTTGTTATTCACTGCATATTAATCTCTAACCTCCTTAACTGTCCGAATTAAGAATTTTGTACTTTTTCATGACCCAACACAATTATTCTAATCTAAGAAATTGCAGGCACTTAAACCCTTCTATAATACAGATTTCATTTATATAACTATCTTAGTTATTGTATCCTAAAACTGGTGATACAGTAAGTTGTGTTTTAGTCAGTGCCAGCCACAACTTTCCTTTATAACCTGCAAGACTGTATTAAATGAGAAGAGCTTTGAGCCCCTATTTTCTTAAATATTGTGGAGGTTGCCATAAAGAATAATCATTTGAATTTCACATTAGTAACATAGGGTTCAATATCACGCAGAATGTCATGTATTATGGAAGTTTGTTAGTAGTGAAATGAAGTTGGAGATATTCTACTATTTCTGCTTTATAACCGTGATATGTCTTACGTTTCAGTGCCAAGAAAGCAGAGGATGAAAACATATCGCCTGTGTCCATACCTTGATACAATCAACAGGCAGGTGTTAGATTTTGACTTTGAGAAGCTGTGTTCAGTGTCTCTGTCTAGAATCAATGTGTATGCTTGCCTTGTTTGTGGAAAGTATTTCCAAGGTTTGTAATTATATTTTTGTAATAACATAACAGTATCACATTTGTGTGTTCTTGGCACACACTCATGGCATTACCTAATCTGCACATTGTTGCGGAATTTATAATTAAGTGGTGCTTACTAGGCCAAATTCATTATACAAATTAAACTAACCTATCCTGTACTTTTACTGTTAAGGTTGTTTTTGAGAAGTATAACATTATGGCCAGATACTGGGAAAGATTTTTAAACTGGAACATCTGCTAGTAAATGATCAAACGTGTCAAGAAATCATATGAAGAAAATAACAAAAGATGTATATGAATGGTAACTGGTTTCCATATTGAGTGTGTCCTTGATTTTGTTTTTATTTATTGAAACAGGTCGAGGAAATAACACGCATGCATATACACATAGTGTAGGAGAGAGCCATCATGTTTTCCTCAATCTACATACCCTACGATTTTACTGTCTGCCGGATAATTATGAAATTATTGGTAAGTTTACATTGCTATTTTTATCTATAATTTGTCTATTGACTTTTGAAAAGGTGTGAAGACTTGATATTTATGTTAATGATAATGTATATTATCCATTGTGTTCTGAACTTGTTCAAAATACTCTGATTATTCTTGCTTGTTAAGTTTTGGGTGACAAAGTGCATGAGGTTTGTTGTCCAAGATGCTCCTTGTAGAACGAATATAAAGGGTATTTGCAATGATGGTGGAGATTAGATCTGTCTCATGGACCCTGCTGAATAGGTACCTGAAGATGAGGGCAAATCCATCTCCCAGAACATAGTATTCTGTTTGTTGAATATAGGATGATGTATAAAGTCCAAAAACTATAGTACTAAGGCTCCATTTAAGATGGTGTACCTAGAATTCTCTTACTAGCGTTAATTCTGTGAGAAGTTTGGATCAAAATATATTTTCTTGTCATTTTAGATTCATCTTTAGATGACATCAAGTATGTTCTCAACCCCACATTTACATCCGAGCAGATAGGATCAATGGATTCGAGTGACAAGCTGTCTAGAGCAATAGATGGCACTATGTACCTTCCAGGGATAGTTGGTCTTAATAATATTAAGGCAAATGATTATTGCAATGTGATTTTACAGGTTAGAATTTTTTCAGAGGTACATACATTTGTTATGGACAACAGTAAGAATGTTGAATGTGGAAAAGTTGGCTTCTTTTTATGACATGAATTTAATTTTTCTATACAAGTTTTAGTTTCATGAAATTTACCCTCTACTGTTGTGTTGTTAATTTTGGGTCAATTGCCAATATATTATGTGTAAATAATACAGGAGCAGTTCAGTGTCAGGAAGAGGACAAATATTTCTTGCGGTTATACTGTGTGTCTTCTAAAAGTTAATGAAAATATATGGTTTCTTAATTTTTATCTTCATAAATATGTCCTGATTTAATTTTTTCTTGGCCTATAAATTATTTACTGTAATACTGAATTCATTGGTCAGTAGTCAACTAGACGTATTGATTAGATTGAAGGATGTAAGATTAAGAGAACTTACCTAACCATCTGTTCATAATTGACTTGTGGACTGCACAAAAGTAAATGTTGACTGGCCTTCTGTATAGATGTAAGATTTTATTCTGTCATTTTTCATCACATATTGCAGGCATTGTCACATGTGACTCCTCTGAGAAATTATTTCCTCAGGGAGATAAACTATGCTCGTGTGAAGCGACCTCCAGGAGACAGCTCATTTCTGTTAGTTCAGCGTTTTGGTGAGCTTATGAGGAAGTTATGGAACCCTAGAAACTTTAAGGCTCACGTATCTCCACACGAGATGCTTCAAGCTGTTGTTCTATGGAGCAGAAAGAAGTTTCAATTCACTGAACAAGGTCTGGTAATGACTTGATATTGACTTGGTAATGATTGTGAAAATTAATTTCTAGGAATCTTTGTGTCTGCATATGGTGTACCTGATGTTACAGCATATCAGAGACATAACTGCAGCAATAGTGTCTGCTATATTTTGTCCGCAAGTGCTAGTTCAAAATATTTGTTAATAGATAATAGTAATTTTTCTCAAAAGCACTATGGTGTGTAGCTATCTTCCTTAAACTTTGTGTTTGTGTAATTTAATTGGGTAGAATGTTGAATTCGTATTTCTAGTAACACTTGTTTTTCACTAACTTGAGAAAGTCACTGTGTTGCAATGCGACTGCAGTGCTTCATTTCTTTATTTTTTAACATACTGGAGGCGAGGAACCAGTTTTTGTTATTACAAATTAATGAACCTTCTTCTTCTTCTTCTTCTATGGCTCTCCGGTCCATATTCAGTCCATGGCCTCCTCAATTCTCCTCTTCCATTCGGTCCTCTGTTAGGTCCGTCTGTCTGAGGCTTTGATCGAGGTTTCGAAACATCTTCCTTTTTACGATGCAAGGTTGTTAGCCTTGCGACCAACCCCCAACCTGGAGGACCAGGGTACCTGTCTTAATCTGACCTCTCCCCCTCGACCAATCTGGCTAGGGAGGCCCTACCAGTAGCTATGCTACCGCCAGCATAGCTCTTGGGGTCACTGAGGTACTCAAGCCCCACGACCACGACAAGGTGCAGGTACCATTAAGTGAGGATTAATGAACCTTCAGGTTGTATAAAAAGGAAAGAATTTTTTGTGTAGCTGAGTGACTATCGCTTTCCCAAGATGGATATTGCCCTCTGGAGTTCAGATAAAAAATAGTTGCTGTAGTTTTATTTCCCACTTGTTTAATGGTATGGAGTAAAACTTTAATGTTTTAGGGGATCCCATTGATTTTCTGTCATGGTTTCTAAATGCTCTGCATATTGCTTTGAATGGCACAAAGAAACGTGACTCATCCAATGTGTATCGTTCATTCCTGGGCTCAATGAGGATCTACACTCGAAAGATTCCGCCTATTGAGCTGGAGGAGGAACAAAAAGAAGCTCTTTTGCTAATGGACGAGTACCAAGAGAAAGTAACAGAATCTCCATTTCTTTATTTGACCTGCGATCTCCCTCCACCTCCACTGTTCAAGGATGAATTTCGTGAGAACATCATTCCACAGGTAAGGATTGTAGTTATTTTTCCTCCAGTTTTTGTAAACTAGCTTTAGTCATAGCTGCTATATTAAAACATGAGGCAGAGTTCATTCTTATTTAATCACACTTCATTCTTCATACTTTCATCCTTTCTCGTGAACTCACATCATATGAATTGAAATTTTTGAGGGAAAATGTGTATATTCTTCCTTGTTTCTATGTTCCAGGTAAACCTGTACACTCTGTTGCAGAAGTTCAATGCACAGACTGAAAAAGAGTACAAGACATACAAAGAGAATTTTATGAAGAGGTTTGAGATCACAGAACTGCCACCATATCTTATCCTATATATTAAGGTTTGTGCTAAATGAAACATCTTTGTGCAGACTTAAAACAGCTCAATACTGTCTTCGACTCTGCTCGTCCTCTGCGTAGGAATTTTGATCATTTGAAGCAATTAAAATGTAATGTAACTTTGGAATGAGCATCCAACTGAAGTGGAAGTTGCGAAAGTAACCCACACTCTTCTTACACGTACTGTAATTGCGGTAATTACAAAGCACTTTCTAATTTTGTTATCTAATTGCATATGTGATTTCTTGATTTGCTGTTTCAATATAATAGTGTAGTGGGCTTGCACTAAGTTTTGCAAAGTTGAAACAAATGTTCTACGTAGCCTGGAGAGTAGGATTTAGGACAGTCAGATCTTGTGTTCAAATATCACTTACATGTTATCTTGTTTAGTATCTGGTATAGCATGATGTGGATTGATGATTGTACATTTGCAGTTGTCTTATCTGTTTCAGAGATTCACAAAAAACACATTCTTTGTGGAAAAGAACCCGACAATTGTGAATTTCCCAGTCAAGTAAGTCGTTGAAATTTTAATTTTTAAGTGTTTGTTTCAATGTATCTATGAATCCTGAAAAAAAAGGTGGTGTCCTGCCGATTGGTTGCTAGTCGTAAACGACTGAGTCGTTGGGGATGCTGCTTGTAATAAATATTGTTATTAATTGAATTAATAGTTATGATTAATAATGTGTTATTTACTGAGTTCTGTCCTGTGAAGGATTAATCATATATTGAATTACAGAAATGTTGATTTTGGAGATATCCTAACCCAAGAAGTGAAAGAAAAATATGCAAGCACAACATATGACCTGGTAGCTAATATTGTACATGATGGAGAGCCTGGCAAAGGGACCTACAGGGTTCATGTTTTACACAAGGTAAATATATATATATATAGCACTTATTTATTTGTTTGCAGTATGAAATTATTTCATTTTCTTCTTCTTCCGTTTCTTGACCGTTACTTCGGTCTTCCGGTGCCTAATATTTTCTTCCATTCCCCTCTATTTTCCCATCCTTCCGGAGGTAGTTTCCACTCTATCATGGTTCTTGTAATTCTGTCATTCCATCCTGGTCTGGGTCTTCCTCTCTTCCTTCTCTCTTTTGGTTGCCATTTATAATTGGATGGAAAGGTGGGGGAGCAATCTTAATCACAGCAACAATCAAATCTCATAATAAGTATAGTATTCATCATCTTGACACACAAATGAACCCACCATTGTCACAGGTTGCTAATGCTTTCAGGGAAGCGGGAAATGGTACGAGATGCAAGACCTTCATGTGATAGACATTCTCCCTCAGATGATCACACTTACAGAAGCTTACATACAGGTAAGGCTGTAAATCAGTGCTTAATCGTCAGTACAACTTGAATCTCTAGGGTCACTTCATATGGACACAGTCAATAAAATAAAATTATGAATTTATTAAATGTATGAATTACTTTTTAAGTGATTGTACTATATTATGTGTAGATTTTTCAGTAATGCGATGGTCATCGGTCTATGAAGTTATATTTATACATGCCACTGCTTACGATAAGATGTATGTAACAAACTCTCAAGTGATAACAACAAGAATACATTCTCGTCCATCTTTAAAAAATATGCGATCAAAAGCAGTTTGTAGAAAAACTCATTTAATCAAATTTTACATGATAAAGCAGAATGCAGGGTTAGCTGTGTGAGGCTTTGCCTTGAGAACCACACATTTGTTTGAAAATAAATAGATTCGGGCCAAGTAATTGGAAATACAACGCTATGCTGAGCTTGAGTAATTTAAAGAAATCTGGAGAGGTAATATAGATTGAAAATAGCCATTGTATAAGTTTTGTTTTAAAGAATATATTTTGTACAAATATTCAGAAATTGGAATTGAAAAGAGGATAATTGTTGGTGATGTCATAATTTGTATGAGTCATTATTTTGAAAGAATAATGCGTTTGGTTTATGGTAATTTTGTTTCAGATATATGAGTTGAAAGAGACCAAACAGCATTCAGGATGACATTTTTTATCAGATTGGAGACACTGATGTTCATGTAATGGAGTTTGTGGAAAAATGTACTTTTTTAAAATGGACTTAAGTTCTTCTAATTACATTGTTCACTTTTCTCCATCAAAAGAACAGAGTGATAGTATTCTTCAATAAAGGTTTTGAAATCCTTATTTTCAACCTAAGATTAATCTTGATGTGACCATTCCATGTGGCTAACTTCCAGACGTTCCCCACCAAATGTTATAATACTGACCCCGAAGTATGAAGTACATCCCGTCATCAACACCCACTACTTTTGTAACCCTTTATGTGCTGTTTTAACAAACTTCTCTGATGCACCTTTCTGAGTATCTTGCTGCTCTAGGATTTCTGTATTACAGTGTTTTTAATGAATGCGTCTAACTTTTTCATATTTTATGATTTTAAATATGGCTGAGAAGGCTTAAAAACATCTTTTTCACTACAGCTGTCACCAGTGTTTACCATTGCCAACTGATAACTGTTTTTCAAATGTAATTTACCCTATCAGTGGGACAGAAGCATTACTGTTGGTAGTCTCTTTTATTTTGTAAATAAATTACAAGACCAGATTCTCTTCGAAGTTTGGATCACCACATAGTGTTTAGGTAGACTGCCATCTACCTGTATAAACTGCAAATGATACCAGAAAAAAAAGGAAACTTTGTTTCTTTCTGTCAATTCTCACCTACTGTATTCATGTAAAAATTGGGTTCTAACAGAGATGAAAGCAGAATGAAATCTGCTGAAATTAAATTTTAAAAGCAATGTAAGATTTTTGTCTGGATAGGGTATGGGAATGATGATACCAAACATTGTTTATTGTAAGACAAAATCAATTCACACAGAACTGGACAGAATATCTAGAGTACAAAGGATGATAATCAAAATGCATTTTGTATTACTTATGTTGACAACAAAATAAGCATTGGTAGCTACTATTACTACTATTAATAATAATTTACAAATATAATTATTAATAAACATATTTACAATATAAAGATTAATACCAGCTTTATGAAACTTGAAAGTCATTACCGTCTTTGTAAGAACCCACCAAGTCTGGGACCCTGTGCAACATTTTGTAAGATTCTGATTTTTGATGGTGAGTTAGCACACTCGCCCAACCACTAATCACCATCCACTACCACCCCCAAACTTGACATGCAGTGTGAGGTGACCAGAGATCTAACATGAAATTATAAAAATTAGTACCAGCATGTGATGCATAAGTCAGAGAAAGGTACTCATCTACACTGAACATTTGTAATTTAATAGTTTACAAAAAGGCACATGACATAAGGTAAGTTGTCACAAGTTTAAAATATAGAAAAAGAAGTAAATTTAGTGTCATTTTTACGTTCTCATGGTGGTAAGGATGAAGATGGATGCCTTCTGGGTTGTTGCCCAGTGTTGTATGGTAGATGATTACCAGTGTTTCAGAGGTGCTTGCTACCTCCATCATCAGGAAGATGAAGACAGCAATGACCTCTGAATCATCAGTGAACTACCAGATTACAACAACTCAGAAGACAGGCATCTTCAGTGCCAGTGTATGTGACTAATGATACATGTGCATGCACATTGCTGTTTCTTTTACTTTTCCTTAGGGACTATGTTTCGAATAGAAGTATATATACATGAGTTCTATACCGCCATGTAAAAAGTTACACTGTATTCTTGTGACTTATGTTTTGAATAAAAGAAATTAGTATGCAATACAATGATACAAATTTGTTACATATAAAAAATAAAAAATTAACACTTTTATCCAAAATCATTCAAGCTCGCATTTCATTTGCTTCTCTTTTTTTTTTGAGCACTGCTAATGTTTACGTAATTTGTAGCAGTACTCGTTTTAGAGTCGGCTGCTTTGATGTGCCATCTGTCGCCGACCCGCCGTACTTAGAAGTTCCGTTAAAGTAGACGCAAGATTGAGGGTAGACGCTTCGTCGCGCGCATGCAAGAAGCATGTTTGTGGTGGTGTTTCAGTGAATTGGGAATGTTTTCATCGTGCTTTAATTACTGTTGTGGTGTTTGTATTCAAAACTTTTTTCCCGAAAAACTGGATGTCATGTAAATTACGGCTTCACAAATAGTGAATAGAGTTTGTCAGTTGAGACCATTTTTGTTTGTAGTTGCAAGTTTACCTTTGCGTTTGTTACCTAGGTTGTGCTGTGAGTGGTTTATAACACCTGAACGGAATGACAAATCCTGTTATCTGTGGAAAAGTATGACCTTTGACACAGTTATCGTATGAAGTGTGAACTTATTTGTTGTGATCATAACACTGCCTGAAGCCTGTCAAACATTAATGCAGTCTACATTACAGGTAAGCCAATTACATAATGACCAAAAGCTTGCGATAAAGGTCATTTTTTCAGCCAAGGAATGTTACCAGATGTTTAAAAGGATTCAAAATTTAATAATATATTTTGAATCCAAACAAATCAGTGGGTCTAATCCACGACAGCTAGAAAGGTTCCAAGATAGAAGTTGCTGTTGTTACATAGAAAGAACAGTTTCTAATTGCACCGTCGTTAGGTGTCCGTACTCATTACTGTTGGGTCTTTTAGCTCAAGAGGTGCAGCCATCTATGGGTGGCCTTAACAAAGTAGTTTCTGCCCTATAACTCTGGAACGAATTTCCATAAACATGTTATAGATGTTGTGTCATTTGAGGTTAATCCGATTCGTATTTTCTTATAACCTAGAATTGGCAATGTTCAAAGAGTCAAAGTGATGGGTTGTGACTTCGATTACCTTTAGAGACAAGTTTTGTCTGCACAGCCACATCCAGATCGGCTCTGGGACGTATCCTCCTGTTTGATTTGACCACTGCGTAAAGCTAGAATTCATGGAACTTTATCTCCACTCCCCTATACGCCTTCATGGTGTGACAAGTCACAAAACAGCAGTATCGTTTTATTGTAAAGGTACTTTTACGAAGGATATGAGGTTTTCACGGCGATAAATCTGGAGTCTTGCGCTGTGTCCGATTTGTTTCTGTTCTTAGTTTATTTAACGACCGTTTATCAAATGTTGAACACGCGTTAGGCCTAGACTTATATAGCCTATGTAGCTTTAACTAAAGGGATGTTTTGTACTATGAATTGGGTAATGATATGCACGAAGTGTCCGTTGCCCCTTTTAGTATATAGGCTTGCAGTCTTAGCATTTGTTTAAGCTGCGGGAAGAGACTGCTCGGAAGACCTAGACTTACATGGGAGAGGGTAATGTTAAAATGGATGGTAAGTAGGGTTGGAGGGTGCGTATTGAATTGATTTAACGAATGATTGGGAAAGTTTGAAGGCCGTTGTGAACATGGTAATGAACCTTCCAGTTCGATGGGGTTTAGTAATGTTAAGATGTTGAAAGAAGGAAGAAGTACAAGGAGAGAGGATGGTAACTAAGAAAAGACAAGGTAGGGGATAAAGATAAGGAACATTTAATGATGATGGAAAAGTAGGGGGTGAAGGACGAGACAGAGAATAGAGTAGGAAGAACATGTAAAGTAAAAAAGACGACAACAAGCAAGTAACGTTCTTGTTTTTGCCTTGTCCGTTCTTGTATTGTTCAGGATACAAACCATTGTTTGGCTACCAGCACCTGTCTCCTTGCTGGCTGCACATTTTTTAACTGTGCGACGTCACAATTCAACTTTTGAATTCTACAAACGGAATCTCTTACGGACCGCGGCAACAGGGCAACAAACTCAGCTGTTTTAAAAATTCTCTGTTCTTCGCACGAAGGGAAGGTTCTCTCCGTCCGTTTCATCTCTGAAAGTTCTGAACGGATTTTGTTATTTGATTTCGGGGACCCACACTGTAAGTTGAGTTAAAATCTGACATTGATTTTCTCAGAAACTACTTATAGTGCATTAAATTAGACCACGACCGCTTCCTTCCACAATATTTCTCATATATCATTAATGCATTTTTATTAAATTGATAAAAAGCGCACAGGCCTACAATTTTAGGGGAAGGAACGCCAAAATCGGCTGTTCTCGGGAGCATGAATATGCCTGTCCTTCATGATGTTCCGTGTTTTATCGTCGTCAGTGATCTTCAATTGTCTGCTAGCTGCTGCTTCCGGTGTGTTCAGTATTCTACGGATGTTTACACGCCCCCACACCGTCTGTGATGGAACACCGAGGCTGAATATCTTTTACTCAGGCATCAGGACACCTTTAAGTTTACATAATTCGTGCATTTGTAGGAGGAGCTTAGCAGGAAATTGTTGGAAATTCGTGAAGTTGTGGATGCGGGTGGAGTAAATGACAGGACCTGAGGGAATTTATCTGGCAAGTTTTACAGTTGTATTTTACTTTTAACGTGTTCACGTCTCGCCACCAGAATGCAGGACAAAAATTGTAATAGCATTTAAAGGCAATAATCAATCCTGTAAAGATGTGGTAAAGTTTTGATTATTTGGGAGTATGACGTTGGCGAAACGCACGGTTGGGTACCGACTACTGTACATTTGTTTTTAACTGTATACTTGTGTCGATGGTAAAACTTGGTGTGGTATTTTTACAACAGCAAGTGTCCTGAAATTTTTTTATTTTTATTTTTAGTGTTCTGTCTGACGACAGGTCTATATGAACAGGATCCTTCCATCCTTCTCTCGGACTGGGATCTGTTCATATACGTTCTTGGCAGATGCTCCAGAAGTGGTTTGCCATTGCCTTCTTCTGTGTGTGAATGGAGTAATTGTTGGGATGTCACGGAGAAACCGGGGAAGCCCCCGGAGGAAAACTCCGTGTTGCCTAGACCACGGCCTTGCCCAACACAAGTTATAAATTCGGGCACCGCCGGGAATCGAACCCGAGAAATTAAGAAGTGATTTAGTTCAGGGAAAACTTGTTACTATTCTGTTCAGAATCTTTGTGGTCGCTGGCTAACAGTGAAAGGCTACTTGCTTTTCATTGATTTCGTGCCTTGGTTGACAGAAATAACGTAATGTAGAAAACGAGTGGTAATCGGGTGGATTCTAAGAACAGACCTAAGCGAACATTCATTTCCTTGGAAGAGAAGCGATGTGGGGAAGTAGGGCAATGTCCATTAATCACGCTACTAGTTGCATCAGATTTCGAGGATGTAATTATACCGCTGCAGTGGTTATTTGAAGTTCAGCTCCTCTGACAGCCGAGACTCGCAATTGCCAGGTATCGCTTACTTGTGTAATTTGTGCCCCACATTCTTATACATCCTATAAGCATTTCGTAGATTAGATAACAGTGCTGAGAAGAGTATTTGGACCTCGGAGGAAGGGCAGGGAAAATGATAAAATTATGTACAAGAGACTCGTTGTACGCGGTCAATCCGTGGTTTTATTTCGGCATTGTGAGCATCATCATTTACCTAAAATTATGTACAAGAGACTCGTTGTACGCTGTCTATCCGTGGTTTTATTTCAGCATTGTGAGGATCATCATTTACCTGCTTCGAGGCTTCTCTTGGCTTATCACAGAATGTGATGCAGATGATAAATTTAGCATAAAAGAATTCTGACGCTAGTGCGTCATAAAAATGGTTGTTTTTTACTCCGTTGCTCGTTTTACGCGTTTTTGATATACGCGGAAATTCGCAGGAATGTAACCCCCGCGTATAACGAGATTCGCCTGTAGTGAGGATCTTCATAATTTTTACTCTTCACAAAATTGGTCTATTAGAGCGACGAGTCATGATGAATGAGCGTAGGACATGTAGCACGCATGGCAGTAACAACGAAGGTTTAAAATTGTAATTTCAATCTTTAAAGTGGAAAGAAAAGAGATGCAGACGGGATAATATTGTAAAATGTGTTAGAGAAGCAGTGACGTGGTGCGTACGTACAGAGAAATTTTACACTTTGATTTTAATGGACGAATTCTTTATGGTTCATCGTATGACTTTGGTTCGATCGTGCATTCAATGGAGTGTAGTGAATGATTTAGGGGGAACTATTCTTGGAATGACAGTGGAGTGTCGGTGCGAAACGGGCGGGAATCATACATTCCTATTGCATCGGGATCTCAAAACTTCGCAGATCTGGTTTAGTGCAGAACTTCAGTCTTCCGGAATTTCACAAGCTTTAACTGCGCAAGTGGGCAAACTTTCCACACTGGTATATTTTGTACCGGGCAGGTTAGCTCAGCCGAAACTTGCCAGACGTCTGTTCTAGAGGCTGCCCTCTGACATTCTCGTCGTTATCCTGTATACAACACGTGTATCTTAATTAATTTTCATCGTATTTTATTTATTTCTTTTAAGCATTTTTGAAAATGTGTAGAATGAACGAGTTATGGAGTCGAAGTGTCTGAGGTACTTTTGAAATATGTTTAGTGCCCTGTATATTTAACGGAAAAAAATGCATGTGTTAATATACAGGCTGATCGAAAGGTCCCTGTGCGCGAACGCACGCACATCCTAAGTGACGTACCTGACTTGTATGTCATGTAATTGTGTGACGTTGGCCACGATCTTCCTCCATACATTTGTTCCGCGTTGAAACCGTAATTAACTTCACCACTAAAAAAAAAGAAAATAATAATTTGCGTTTTTGCAGGTGCGCGCGGATTTATGATCACCTTGTTGTTGTTTAGTAACAGCACATTTGTGTATGCAGTACGTGCACATGAAAAACAATTGGGAATGCAGGTATTCGTAGAATTAATTACGGAAATATTATTGTTTTCGATTCACACGAAATCATGAAGAAACATTACTGCTCAGTCATTGTCGTGTTTCTGGAATGTGGGGTTATCTGGGAATGGAAACACGTGGCATACGAGCAGACGGCGTGTGCGAGGATACGCTGCTCGTGGCACATTGGCGCGAACAACCTGGCCTCCTTCGGTAAGTTGTACTCCAGTTTCAACGACGAGGCATATGGACATCTCTGTACTCCAGTTTCAACGACGAGGCATAGGGACATCTCACTTCATGATTTACCTGAAACTGTGTTCGTGACTCTTGGCTGGGAGATTCGAGTAACTGTCCGAATGTAGTATATTGAAGGAAGAATTTGTGGTCCGATTAAAGGCAGGCCTACTACTCCGGCATTTGCTAGAAGGTTTTGAGAGGAAAGCAAGAAATATCTCAGTCAGGGTAACTGGTCCGTTGCACGTCTGAAAGGGCATTTGAAACAATGTTCAATAAACGAACATGACAGACATGATAATGACTGTATGTTCGGACGTTGTCAATGTTAGAGGTGGCTTTGAAATTCGTTACAGAACGCCACTGATGTAACGGGGATACAGAACAAATATGAATGAACTCTTCTTACTTTGTCCATTCGTCACAGAAAATTCTACAATAATTTTGTTGGCGTGCGTCCATTTCGACAG